ATCCTGAGAGTTGGCCTGACCCCACAGGGCAACAAAGTTATCTCAGCAGCACAATCAGTAGGCAGACTTGGATACCTCACAGTATTAGGTTCCTTAACCCCTGCAGAGATGAGGCTTACCAAAGTGACTGCGGTATACAGCACCACATCAAAACAGGTGCACTGAGGTGCTCCTGCTGATTATTGTGGCTTTCATTTTAGGAGTGTTGCTTCTCTGATCAACTGCATAGGACTGCTGACATGTTTCAACAAAGATAGGAATTCAAGTGGGCTCTGAACTACATGATTATGAACTATCCAGATTCTACTTTACCAAAATGTGCAAAACATTTTTAGTATTTAGCTGAACAATTGTAGTCCAAGATGGCTTAACTTTTCATTAATAAAAAACCCATTAAGATGATTTAATAAGAAAGCTGTCAAGAAATACAGATGGGAAACTACATGAATGCAGAGTACAAGGAGAGATAAAGCAAGGAAAGGGAGAGAGCAAGCTGGGAAAGGTAACTGTGTGCTTTAAGATGTACTTCTTGGCTTCTGAAAGAAAATGGACTAGTTCCTTTTTGGAAAGCTGTCTCAATATGGGGGGTGAGGGAGAGAAGCAGGGAGAATTTGTGTTCAACAAGGAACTGGAAACACAGTATATTATAACTCATTTAAATGGGCAAGTTTTGCAATGGAAGGCCAGGCAGCAGACACTTAAATGATATAACCAATATCTGCACAAGTAGGAGAGCTTTCCCTGCCCCACAGGGCTTGATGGACCTTCCAGTTATTAATGCAAAGTAACCAACGCACTAGATCTTTTTGCAAGAATAAAGAGGTGGTACCTGCATGAGGCCAAATCCTATTGCCAACAGTCTTAAAATCGAAGAACTGCTGTGACACTTCAGAAAGTTTTTTTTCCCCACTCTCCACCTCATTTTGTTCATTTTAACTCAAAATTCATGGGACACTGAGTGCACTTGATAGTGCGGTGCATAATTCTGAAGTCAGAAATCACATAAAAACTTCCAACTCCATACCCCCAGAAAACTTACTATATGTGGAACAGGAGGAATAGGGGCAGGATTCCATGTGGTTGATGTGCTTGTTTTTGCCTGCCAGTTTGTTCCACCAGTAAGTTTTTTCTCCGTAGGCTGAGTCCACTGCATGTCTGACCTAGAAAAAATAGCAGCAGAACTTCTACACAGAGCTATTTTTTTACTGAACAAAGCACAAGTGTTCTGACAAGTTAAGATTATTTCTAAGCAGTAAGCAAATAAAATATTGAGAAATAAAAATGCAATAGGTAGGTATAATAATTCAAGTGAGCACCAAATATTTACTCAGAAGTTTTTGTTACATAAGTCTTATTCATTTACGTTGGTAATTTATTTCAACTATCTAGTTATTTATTTAAATTATCACTTGTATCTGTATGCTGGCAATTTTCCAATTTTCTTAGAAGCAAGATGAAAAGTAAAGTCTATGTACTGAAATTAAGCTTAATTATTCCTTGGACAATTTTACACAAATTGATTTGTAAGACTTATTTCAAAATTGGCTTACTTCAAATGACATGCTAACTGATCTTGCAAGTTAGGTCATTCAAATTTCCATATTGAGTGTGTCAGTTTAATAAGGACTGATATCGAATCAGTAGGTGAATTCTTTCTGAACTATTGAAGGTTTTTTTATTCACAAAATATTTATTAGGAAAGACAAGAACTCTCTTGATCTAGCTATACTTTATTTATTTGACCCATCTAGAATCTGTCTGTACCATTAACTAACAATATTATCCAGTTATGATTCAATTCTGTTGCCAGCAGCAACATTCCCTAACCAATGCAAATGATTTTCAGAACAAACAATCTTTGTTAGTAAAACCTTCCTTTGATTCTGTTTGACAGTCTATAGAGCATGGTTTCACAATGAAAAGTTCTAAGAGGACAAAATGCACTAGCTGCGCTCAATTTTTTAAAAGGAATTTCCGTAATAAAAAGTAATAAAATTGCACTTACTTTTTAGCTGGGGTTCCTCCAAAGCCAAGATCTGTAATTAAAAGCAAAAAACCCAAACGAAAAATTAATAACCTAAACATGCCCTTCTGTAATAAATATGGAAAAAATAAACAGTTGCATACTTACTTCCCACAAGGTTAGCAAGCGAAGAATCAAGGTCATTTGCTAAAATTTTTCCACTCTGACTGACTAGCACTGGTCTCTGACTTTGTGTTGGTACAGTTGGTTGCAATACATCATCTAGAAAATTAAAAACTGCAGGAAGAACAAAGAAACAATGTTATCAAAACAAACACATTACAGTTGAGCCAGAATATACAGACATAAAACCTCTGTTAGTCAAAAGGGTCTTCTCTATGACATGAATAGTTTAAATATTATGCTCATAGTTTCAACTTACCAAATAGGTTTTCAAGGCTTAAGACAAAATTAGGTTAATCTCTTATTTTTCTGGAATACTGGGTTTTGAGTATAACAGAAGAGTATGTCTGAATGTCACTTCATGGGTTACAGAGAGGAATTTTACATGAGTTTTGCATTAGCTTTTTTTTCAGATTTTGTCTGTTTAAGCTCCTTCTAATTTTCAATGAAAAATACCTGACAAAATTATGTTATAAAATAATCAAAATGCTTTCATAACAATGTGTTTTTATATAAATAGTAAAAACCCCTCTTCAAATGGCAAGACCAAATCAAACCACTACTGATGAGCAGAAACCACATTAAAATATTTGCACATGGACTATCACCTTTACACATCTTACTAAATCTTATTCCTCCATGATCCCAACAGATCATGTTTCAAACACTGCCACAAACAGCTTTTACTCAACATTGCAAATGAATTAAATATTGAGAACAGTTTACCAGTTCTTAACTAGTAGGTAGGCTTACCAGTTAGGAGATATCCAGTGGGCCACATTGGAAATTATATAAAAAAGGAAAAGAGAAGACATTACACAGTGTATAAGATTTAAGATTAATTAAACAGCCTATTTTAAAGTAAAACTCAAACCATCTAGCTACTTTTAAACTGATTACATGTAAATTATCAGTCCTATACTCAATTACATTCAAATGGATTACATTTAACTAATTTAGTATCTTAATTCTGATTAGTGCTTATGAAAATGCCAGTTACTCTTACACTATTCTAACATAACACTTGCTCACTTGATTTGCAGAACACAAGTTAAAAATTTTGAGTTGTTTTTTTACCACTTGTAGCCCTGTACTCAGGTACTGTAGACTTTCCCCCAAACACAGCATCAAAATCCACATTAATTGCTGAAGAGGTGGCACTCTGAACAGGAAATCCTAGGACATAAATTAAAGTGATCAGAAGCATACCTAAGTAATAAAGCCATCCTTATAGCCCAATTGCAAAGAAACAAAAAGTTAAAAATCAAATTACCATCAACAGTCAAAGGATGATATACAGAAGTGTATGTAGGCTTATGACCACTAAAATCATCTTCATACAAAAGGGAAAAAGAGAGAGAGGAAAAATTAGATGCCATTAAGGAAGAGATAAGCCCTGAAATTTGAAACCAAATGTTGTTACCACAGACATTAAGACATAAAAATGTGGATTCAAGCATCTTATCACATACGAAGCAAGTAATTTGAAAACTTCAATACTAACCAACTTTCTCAGTTTTTAAGTTTCAAATTTTGAGAATGTTGCAAAGACTAGCATATGCACACATATTTTGATATTTGATTTCTATATTCGATTTGATCAAATAAACTGGATTCTTTCAGCTTTAAACAAATTCTCAAAGGCAAATATTTTTTGTCTTACTATATCTAAAATTACAGTTTAATTTTTACTGGTTGAACACTTTCTTTAGATTGCTACAATTACACCTGAAAGAATCACAACCCTATACTTTTACACAACTCAGTTTTATCATCACTATCATCTTGGATTGGAAAGAAATTAGAGGGTATTTTACCACTAAACAGTTCCACTGTTTGTTTGGAGGTAAACGTGGAATTGATGAAAGGGGTGGTAGATTTTACAGCTTCTTCAACTGGCTTCATGTCAAAGATGTCCAGAGAGGGTGGAGAACCAACACAACCATTTGAGGATGAGAAAGGACCTTTCAGATACAGCAGTATGAAATAGGAAAAGAAAAAAGACTCTAGAGTAAAAATATCATAGAGAAACATAGTGACTGTACATGTCCCAGTATGAAAGTCCCCAAAACTGGAGTCAAGCTTATTCAGAATCAATAGGTAAATGCAGGTTATCCACTGAGCAAGATGGCCATTTAACTTTAGTTTCAGAAAACCCACCTGAAAAAACTCATACCAGTGACCATTACTGGAGGAAAAACTATTCCAGTGTTAAGAAAGAGGACACTTACTTACCTGTGAACAGAACTGTTAGATACATTACTTGTAGGAACACATTCCCAAAGCTCCAACTGAGGCAAAACAGCACTCAGTCAATAATGACTCCCCAGGGTAGCAAACCACTAATTGTAGTGGTGGTACACTGACTTATGTAAATGCCTTCAAAAACTGTATGTTACTTAACATAAACATTCCTTGTGGAAAGAGTTCTTCCCCCAGAAAATTTAACAACAAATGTGCCTGTTCAAGTCAAGTCGCAGAAGTTAAAGAAAGGTAAGCATGCAAAAGGGATGACTATTTTGGTCTTGTGTCTTCCCAGTGAAGTCTTCTTACCTTTATAATAAAACTTACTTTACATTTCTTTCTGGGGAAACACAAAAATCTAAAACTTGGAGAATATTTTTTTGGCGGGAGGGAGGGCAGGGGCATTGTGTGTTTAACATGGTTCTCAAGTCAGTCTATTACAACTGATTGACGTGGAATTTTTCCACTTTTTAATGCATTTAATTTAGGTTAGGGAAACAAGTTACACATAAACAGGTTTAAGTGATTGGAAACTGGTTTAAGCCTGTAACAGAATAGGAAGTCAGTGCACAAACTGCTTTCAAAATGACCAAAAACAGTTTAAGATAAAACTGGTTGGATGTAGTATTGGAGTTAACTGATTTAGGTCAAAATAGTTAATGCAACTTCTGTCCCAGACCCCTTCCTGGTTCAAGTTAGGCTTGCGGAGGCGCAAAGGGGAGCCCCCACCTTGGGGAGCTTCCCTCCAGCCCAGCCCAGCCCAGCCCAGCCCCGCCCCAGGGAGCTGAGGGGAATTCTTCCCTTCTGCAAGGGCAGAGCTGCTTGCTTCAGCCTCTGCAAGTCTCAAGCAGCTTCAGGTGCAAAGGGAAGTCCTCCAAAGCCGGTTTTGCCTTAGGTGCTGCAAGCCTGGGCTATCCCTAGTGTGAGCTCTGCTTCCTGGGCTATCCCTGAGACTCCAGCAGCTAAGGTAAGGGGTTGGGGAGCAGAAGAGCTCCCCTCAGCTCCCTGGGGCTGCCCCAAGCTAGGGGACCCTGGGCTGGGGTGGTGGGAAACCCCCACAGTAGGGGCTCCCTCGTGCCCCCATGCTAGGCTGCACGGGCAGGCACCCAGCTCAAAGGACTTCTCCCTCCCTCCTGGGGAAGCTGTTGAAGCATGCAGCAGCTGGGAAGGAAGAAAAGGGGGAACTCCCCTCAGCTCCCCAGAGCTCTCCCAAGGAGGGCCAGCACCCAGACAGCAGGCTGGTAGATGTGCTGCAGCACCCCCTGCCTACTGGCTTTGGTCAGAGCAGGCCTCCCCCTGCCTTTCCCAATTCAAAACTGAATGTCAGTTCAGTTGGTTATCGGTTCAACCTATGCAGCTTAGACGAAGCTGCCTAGATTGAATCGATTCTGCCTTGGGCTTTTTGAGTGTCTGTACTTAGCCTTAATGTCAAAGTGATCTGCTTTACATTTTACCAAGGTAAGAAATACTTGGATTTCATACAAATTAAGGATTAACTGAAGAATCAGTTATGTATGTGTTTTGGTTCGAGTAGGACAAAGATAATGGATGAATTCCTGGAAAGCAGAAATATCATCTCTTCTCTTAAATCATAATAGAAACTTACCTCCCCACGCATTACTTGCTGATGTCGCTATAGCTGGAGTACTCTGTACAGTTGGAACAAAGGCAGGCTGAAGATCAAAGAGATCTGTAGAGAGGTTGGGCATGCTGAAAATATTAAGAGAAAAAGTTGAATTGTACAAGTTTAAAAAGAATTTGTCACAATTTAACCAAGAATAGGTTTTTTTTTACTTTAAGAAAAGACAAAAAGTGAATTCCAATCACATATCCCTCCCTACAAATACTAGAAATGCTGTAAATCTAAACAAACATCCAAGTACATTAAAAGTGATTCTTAAAATATACAATATATTGTTGATACAGCATTCAAGATTCAATTTAAGTTTTCTAGACTGTCCAGAGCAAACAGCATACATTATCTTTCAGAAAAGTAAACTTGATACATTGAAGACCAAGAATAGTACAACACAGGACTTGTTGTAAAAAAACAAAACAAAACAAAACAAAACAAAAAACCTCAAAGGATTTCTGTTAAGTATCATCCATTATTAAGGAGATACCAGTGTCAGCCAGAAAATTAGTTTAAATACTGAAAATATATTCTCTAATATGCTAGGCTACTAATTTAGTAGCAGCAGTGGTAAGCAATGAAGTGTTTTAAAATTGCTCAAAGAAACTGTCCCTCACCTATTGGTTGTAGGTGCTGGTGCTGCAAAGAGGTCAACAGCTGAAGTAGTATTAACACTTTTCCCCGACAAGGTGCTTGGAGATGCTGATGTAGAAGTGGAATTTGACACCACTGAAATCTCTCTCAATCGCTGTTCCTGGAAGATTAAATGTTAAAATTTAACTTAGTATTAAATTAGGTACATATTCTTGGCCAAAAGGGCTCAGTTTAATTTTTTTTCCCTTTTGCAATGTCCTGAAAATAACACAGATAGATAAATTGAGCCATGGACATTTTTCATGTAAAACAGAAGAGCCTTAACATTAATGTTTACTGACAGCAAAGGTGCATAGAATTAATAACAGGATTAATTTTGAAACTGGCGACTAGTACACGTTATGTTTCTGGTGTGATAAAGCATTAAATCATACCAGAAACAGCAATTGGCCACACATTCACAGAATTTATGGTGCCATAAAATCACACACCAGTCACAAAGCTATTACTCAAAAAACATGTAATATCTGTGTGCCTGGTTTGTATACCATAACTGTTACGTGCACCATAACTGGAATGTGTAGCATGCCATCACCCAGATGCTGGAACCTGGCTGAGGGCTGCCCTGGTTCCAATGCTGACAATTAGCTGGCTTTCAGTATCAGGATGTGATTGCCAGAAGTCACACATTAAAGAGCCTTGCCCTGCAGCCCCAGAAAGGCTCATTAAGGTGCTGAGTCCCACCCAGCCTCAGGACATGGGTGGCTCCAGAGTCAGGGACCGCAGCCCACCCTGCCTGATCCCAAGGATCAGACGGGACAGCCTGGGTCTGAACAGGGACAGGGTTGTCTCTTGGCAACACCCAACACTCACACCGAATGTCAGGGTCTGCAGGAAGCAGCTATAGGGTTGGGGAACAAAGCTGCCCCTGCGCAACTGGTGGGATGAGGCTAGGGCCAGCTTCGGTCCTGATCCCAGCTGCCCTCTGCCAATCCCCACAGAATGTGAGATAGGCAGCTGGGGATGGGAAACACTTCTTCCATCCCCAAATGGAAGCAGCACCAGAGGGAGACAAATGGCAGGTGGGCCAGACTCTGCTGCTGAAGGGTTCTTTCTGCACAAGTCTCCACTTCTGAGCCATTTCAAATCCATATTTCTAATATAAGCCTTCAGAACAAACAGCTAAGTCCATGGCACTCTATGGCTCTTGTGTACCAAGGACTGTATTTGCTTTTGGCCATATTAAGCTATCAGGGCCAGCCTTCTGTACAGGGCAATGGAACAGTTGCCCCAAGACACAAGTAGCCTAAGAGCTATTAGGGGGCTGGTAATGTGCCCCACCAACCACTGCTTTCTCTGCCACAGTGATGGGGTAGGATAAACTAAAACAAACTTTAAAATTTCCATTTCTAGCATCCAACTATTTTTCGGGGGGGGGGGGGGG